CCGTATGAAGGGGAACGTATCCTGAAGGATGCAGAGAAACCTCATCTCTGCATTCTGAACCTGAATCTGAGCGATCTGAAGAAATTCTTTCATCGGGTAGGTAACGCCATATCATGGATGCTTTGCATGAGTAACACCAACCGATAATGATTATGTTGATAGACGAAAACAACCCTAACTTCGTCTGTCATGCCATTGTCAGGTGGACAGTACGTAGCTAAATATATATTTTGTTAAGCCCTAGCTAAAAACGAAAGGATGTTGAAACATTGGCAGGAACGCACCAGTCACCCACGACGGCGTCAGAAGCGCCTAAATGCGTTTACTTGAACTATTTTTCATTTCATTTTTCATTTTTCAAATAATTAGCTAAAAACGTTGACTTACCAAGCAGACAGTTACGAGAAGCATGAGCATACCTCACGATGAATGTGAATACCTGCAGATTACCAGTGGGGGTTTATATAGCTGTTTCAGTACCCTCCTTCATAAATTTCATAGGAGGTTCGCAGCTGATGCTACTTTTACTTTCGAGCTATTCAAAATTCATTTTCATTGTGCCTATGACACAGATTTATTTATTTTGTGGCACAGTTCCTTACGGATTTTTCACCCTTCCAAAGTTATTTCAGAGTTATGAGATAACTGATAACATTTCACTTGGGTGTCTAACCTTTCAGACAGTTTTACGGTGAGAGATAACTGATAACATTTCACTTGGGTGTCTAACCTTTCAGACAGTTTTACGGTGAACTTTCTCTCAGTGCTAAAGATATTAATCCGATTTTTCGAGGCAGTTAGCCTGGTATTCTCCTAAAATCGATGAAGTTAAGGTTTTTTTCGCGCTGGCTTCTTAAAAACTGTAGGTGGTGCTTGAAGAACATCCGAAAATTCCAGTACAGATATGGGCAGTATCGAAAGACATTGATTTGTCCCTCCATTGTTTCACCAATTGAAGGGGAATCAAAATAAACAGATGTGAGCGCTTTCTCAGGAAAACAATTAAAATGAATTTTTAATAGCTCGAAAGTAAAAGTAGCATCAGCTGCGAACCCCCTATGAAATTTATGAAAGAGGGTATTGAAACAGCTATATAAACCCCCACCAGTAACCTGCGGTAT